GGCTGCTCTGCCGGAGTCCCCTCCTCCCCGGCCTCTATAGAGGGGCCGGGACCGCCGGCGCTGGGGGAGGGGAACCAGGGGGAGTAGCCGGCCTATGATTTATTGCCCGAGGCGTGTTATTACATCCTTCCTCTGGTAAAAATGCTTGGAAAGGTACCAAAAAAGCGCGAGGGCTCCTCTCTGCGCTCCGTCTTCCCCCAGGCGAAGCGCTCGGCCCGGCTCCCCTGCACAGCACCTGCCTCTGCAGGGCTGAGCTGCGCATAGCGCAGCACAGACACACAGGGCCCGTCCCGCTCACTCCATCTGCCCCGGGGTGTGTGTGTGGGGGGGGACATCTATGAGAAAGTCCCCCCTTCCCCAAGCCGTGCCGCCCACTCACACTTCTGGGCTCCCCGACCCCTCTGGTCTTGGGGGAGCTGCCAGGGCTGGCAGCAACACGGGACAAACCGAGCGATGTCTCCACACTCACACCGGGAGGAGGAGAAACCCCTTCTGATCTTGTGGATGCCAGTCGGGACCTACACAGACTCTGTGGACATCAGCTGTGGGGCCTCATACAAAGCTCCTCGCAGAAGTTTCGGTGGCAGAAGGCTCGAGACAGCAGCCTTTTCCCCGATATTAGCTGAACGCAAGCCCACGTTTTCCACCCCACTTTGCCTCCTCGGTGTCGCAGATGCCACCGGGCTCCCTGGCACCTGGGCTGGGCCCCAGGACCTTGCCGGGCCCGGTAGTCCCAGGGCTGCCACGTACCCCAGCTACGGCGGCTGGTCAGGTGTAACTGACTTCAGCACAAACTCGCTGTCTGTTCCCAGCCCACGGGCCCTTTGCTGTATTCAATATCTCAAATAAACAGGGGGCTTTGGTTGAACTCAGGCCTCTCAGCTGCATTTGAAACAGGCACCCCTGCGAGCCTGGCACAGAGGGGGCGGACTCGGCACAGCCAACCTGGCTCTGGAGGTGTTTAAAGGAGCAGATGCCAGCAGAGCCAGCCTGCACCCTCGTTATTTCAAAGTATGATCTTTGGGGGAGAGGGACCCAAGTTCTGCACCCATGTTAGCCCGTGGCTGCCTTACCTGGAGGGCTTGTTTTTGATAGCCCAGGAAAATGCTCATACCAACACTGGGCCATGAATTGGCTCCATCCCCACACCTGAAGCCTGCAAAGACCTGATTTTCACATCCAGCTCCGCTAAATCTAATTAGCCGTATTTGTCACTGTCTGCCAAAGGCCCCTGAGTCTATTTATGCTGATCTTGTTCTCCCCTTTTCCCTTTTACACAGTGTGCAATACACCTCCGCGCATGAACCCGATGTCCCACAATGTCCCACAATCACGACTGCTATGAGCCTTTCTATTGCTCTTGTAGCGGTTGTGACACCCGTCAGGGCTGGCAGCACTTGGCCTCAGTCCCTCTGCAAACCCTGCAAGGAGCACGGCTGTCCCACCAGCGCCCCAGCTGACCCACAGACATCACTTCACTGCGCTCACCCTGCAGGAATATTAGCGCTCAGAGGAAGAACAACAGCCCATGACCTGATCATAAAGACTGGGTGAGGACGAGGGCTGAGTTAAGTCTGAGCAGCGCAGTATCCCCATCTGCACCCCTAGATGTGCAAACATGCTGTACTGAGTAACTCAAAAGGAAAAATGGTCAGACGCTGGGTAACACCTGGGCAGACCCACGCAGGGGTGTAGTGCACAGGCACAAGCGCTCTGCCTGTATCTCCGCAGAGAGCACTGCCTCTGGGTTATTTTGCCAGGACAGTTTATGGAACCGGTGCAGTCTGCTCACCCCCCAGCACTTCCCCCTGAAATAGTCGGGGTTGTTTCACCTCAGAGCCGTCCTGGACGGCAGGCGAGCGGCTCCGGCGCAGGCAGCAGCGCTGAAAAGCGCAGTGATGCGGGCGAGCGCCGCGGGGACCCGCTAGCACCACCCGCGCCGGGGTCGCGTCCACAGCTTCGCAGCAGGGAGCTACACGAAACAACTGAGCTCATCCGAACAACAAGCAGTTTTTTATAAATTGTGCTTAATAGTGCTTTTTTTTCCCATCAAGAAAAAAATGTCATTTGTGGTCAGTCAGTTTGAGATTTCAACAGCAACAAAACAAACAGAAAACAAAACAAAAATAAAGAAAAGACTCAACAGGACTTTTGTGGTTTGCTCCCCAAACCTAGAATTATGAACTTGGGGAAATCTGAATGAATTGTACGCTTAAAAGATGCTCAAATGACTGGCAAAGTGTTAAAACTCCTTGAAAAGCTCTTTTTAACTTCATGTTAACTCCCACAGAATTGACCTGTGTTCTTCCGAATGCTCAGAAATCCCCTTCTGCACCCCCCGATGAGCTGGGTGACTGAATCCCACCCCAAACACAACCAATTGCAGCCAGAGCTTCCTGACAGACACTGAGTCCAATGTTTTATCTGAACGCTGAGAAAGGAAGGATGAATTCAGAGACCTTAAATAGACTTTTGGCTTCAACACAGCTTGAGACAGCTTTTAACAAAATAGTGCAATATGCCAGATTTTCAGTATATTTGAATCAAATTACATTTCCTGCCAAATGGGGAGATGGCAACGTTGCTGTTCCTTAGAATATTAGACTGGCATAACCTAGCAATGAAATCATAACTCTCCAAAGTCGTTCTAAATCCCCATAGATTCTATCTAAAGCAAGCAATTTCTGGCTGGTATGATACAATGCATTATTAATATTGTGTTATTGTGAGTTAAAAATTAAACTAAATCTTCTCAGGTTGGGAAAACAGGATCCCTGATTGTATTTTGTATTCCACTATTATTTGTCTGTGATCCTTCCTAATATTTGCTAAACTTGTTATTTGCTAAACCTGCTATTTGCTAGTTTGTAAACTAAACACACCATTTTTTGAACTGTCATTAATATCCAGGCAGAATCTGTGTTTAAGTGGAGTTGAAATTCATAGTCCCTATTAGCAGCTTGGAGTAAAACACATCACAAACCAAGTGTTTTAATCCCAGATATAGAGTTAACCTTAGTTAACCTTAGCTAATTACATTTACAACTCTGTACGTATTAGGCTGTGGAACTGCACAATTAAGACACCAAATTGACTTTATCTCTGCCTTGCCGTAACACCTTTGCATGGCCCACATGACCACGACTGCAGCACTTTAGTATCTCTGCCCTTAGAGGTAGCTCCTTTTGGAAGATTTTAAGACTTTTTAAAGCTTTGTTCCGTACAGTATGAGGCTACCATGGGAAAGATATGAAAGAGGCTAAAATGCTAGTATCAATATTGTGTAACTATTGCATGATATCCTTTTTCCTTAGGGTGTAGAGTTAAGAGTGCTTGGAGATTTTGAGTGTTCTAATATCATTACATATTTATGTTCTTTTGTAATTTAACCATAACTCCTTTATTTAAAAGCAAAAATGGCATCCACACAGTGTTCTCCTCCTTTCAGTTACTGACTGTATGCCCTCAGCTTTACATTCATCTCATGGTCATTCTTACTTTGCCCTTTTTTTTTTTCCTTAGCAGTAGTTTTATTTTTGCAACCATGCTATATGAATATTTTTTTTTTTTTGGCCAAGACTCTTACTATTAAGGTAAAATCTTGAAGACTTTGTAGTCTTGCTAAGCATCCAAAAAGTAAACAGAAGGGAACAACCCTAGAAAGTCCTGAAGATCATTCTTGACTCCTTTCTTTAGCCTTCTTGTTAAAAGTGCCAATGCTATTTTTCCTCCTTATTGCCATATCTAGGTTAACCTCCCCCTTTTACAAGCATAGCAAACAAGCTTTCAATATTAAGTATTCACAACTAAGTAATATAAACTAAGAGAAGTGATTTGCAGGATTTGTCTGCTCTGCAGAAGGAAAGAAAAAAAGGCTCCCCAAATAACCAGGTTTCACACTGAGTTCCAAGAAATCTGTTCTCATTGCAGTAAAATAGCCTCAGACGTTCATGTGCACACAGATATCCATAATGTGTTGGCCCCAAAAGATTCCTTAGAGGGCAGAGGGAGAGATCAAATAGAGGTCAAGTGAGTAACTGTTTATAGATGGTTAACTAGAGTGACAGAGAACTGTGGTAGCTGCTTTTCTAACAGCCTTCAGAGGCCTGAGCTTGCTTCCCTGGGACTTCTGCGTATCATTTCAGTGGATACAAAATTGGCTCTTAAGGGCAGAATTTATTTCTCATCTCATCCCAGCAGAGCACATCCCAAGCTGATCTAACCTTTCATTAACAAACTCAAAACATGATAAATTTTGCTCGGTTTTAAGTTCTGTTACAAACATAGCTCTTGGCCTCACTGTGAGGAGTTTCCAGAAAGCTTGGGGTAAAGCAGAGCCAAGTTTGGAGCATTCCACCTCCTCCCTTGCGCATGAAGCTGACACTGTGGAGGGGATTTTATTCCATCCAAGAGTGTTCAAAACTGTGTGGCTTTGCTTGGGTTTCACTTGGAGTTTTCAGGTTCACTGAGCTTGCAGGCCACATAGATGAAGCTCATCCTCAACAAAAAAGGTTCGATATTCCTGGCAAAAAGAGGAACCTGGG